GGACATAAAGGACATCTTAAAAGGAATCATACAGTGTGTTTTTAAGTGCTATAGAACGTTTGGCTTCGCCCTCCAGCTTGAGCATTCAAGGACTCCCAGTGGGGTGGTGCTCTCTGACTGCAGCAGCATCAGGTGGCTGCAGCAGATGAAAAAGTGACAGACTTAATTGGGTTATTGAAGAGCAGAGGCAGAAGAAAGACGGTCAGGCCATTTTTTATAAAACTGCTGGGACACATCTTCTAACTGGTTGGTTAAATTGAATGGCTGCTTGGTTCACACTGAAGCGCAGAGACAAAGCATTGGTTTTCACCTTAGCACCTGCACACACGTAGGTTTTAACCTACAAAACAATGATAGTTTTCAACACTTTGGCATGTCACCCACAAGAAAGTCAAGATGGACACCACGATTCTTTCTAAATGAGAAATCTCAATGATCAGCATTTGCTTTTGCACATGAATAACCAGGATTTTAGGTTTGGCGACATCACACGGTTTTCACACGCTCAATGGTCGTTACTCTAAATCAAGTATGCAAGTTGTTGACAGTTACAGCGGAAAGCCCGTTCTTTGGAGTACGGGACTACAAAGACAGCATTTGGAACATGACCGTACTCTGTTATGTCATGGCAACAAGTACCTTTTATGCTACAGTTAAAAAACTAACCTAAAGTCAAAATAAAAGGCAACAGTGGTTTAATTTGGATGGTGGGTTAGCTAATTAGCATGTAGCGGTATCATGAAGAGTCCAAAAAATGTGTTTTACTGGTTGCTGACATTTATGTAGCCTGGCAAGCAATCTGTGAACATATTGTCTGGCCACAACCCATCGATGGCTCTCAATCATGGGGCGGGATCCACGGTTGTCTTACAAACTGTCTCCGCACACTATTGAACAAACAACATGACAAACACACCAGATGCCAGTCAACGGGGCAGTCCACCATACTCTGTGGAAGATAACACAAATACATCCTTTTTCTAAATAAACTTAACTACCTCCATATGCTCTTGACTCAAAGAAAGTCTAAATAGTTTAAAGTTGTGTCCAAAGTAGTTTCAAATGAGCTTCTACCATCTTAGTTTTCCTCACTAACCTCCCGCCCACCAAACAGATAGAGTGCTGTGATTGGACAGGCATCCGACTGACCGGGGCTGCAGATGTTCCAATGGAGCGTGGCTAGATCGACATGCAGTGCAAAATCATTTTGCTGCTGCAATTTACGGTGTAGACTCTAGGCTAACAATTACCTACAACATCAGACAAATTTCATTTATTGATGTAGACTAAATTATCTGTAGTTTTGATATAATTTAAAATTAAATATTTAACTTTTTGATGTAATAAAGAGATATCTTGCCAACCCAAGCCCGCAGAAGGATGCATTGATGTGTCATGGACAGAATTGGGCAGAGCAAGAACACATCCTGGAACGTTGAGCATACTTGTCATGATACATACTAATGATTGGAGCAATGCTTGGGCCAACATCAATAACTTTATTTGTGAGTACACATGTTTAGGAAAGTACGCATATTGAGAAATGGCCAATTTAGAAGACCAAGCGCGTTGGACAATGTTTTTTGCAAAGACATCAAAAATTTGGGGGACTACTGCCGCCTACAGGCTTGGCATGCGTATGAATGTACTACACAATGAACTGTGATTCTTTACTGAAAACAAGGTGTTGTGGACCAAAGTTTATTCCTTAGGTGGACAAGAATGGATACATGAATGAATAAATAATTGATTTGAACATGCATGAGCATAATTTCAGCTAATCAAACTACAATTACTAAATAAAATGTGTGCATGTGCTGATGCAGGCATTGTGCACCTGCAGCAAATCGCATGGCTCTATCATCACGTCTTTAGGATTTGTCTGCCACCTTATAAATGTTATACTGAGAAAAGCAGGGGTGCTAAACTTAGTAGAATATTACTTCCTGAGCAGACAGGTTAATAATTATGGCTGCTTTTCTTCAAAGACTCAGGTGAAACTTGTAAATTTCCTCATCTGAACACGGGGAAAAAACTGGAAACCGGGATTTTCTTTTTCTTGCAAAAACAAAGGTTTTATTCCAATCTTTCCTTTTTTTATTTCTAGTCAATTAAAAGAAAACTTTGCATGGATAAAGGTCTAGTCTCGTCCTTTATGGGGAAAACAATGTGTTGAGGAAATTTGAGCTCAGGGGGGAGCACTTGAAGGCACCACTCCCCCGCCCTGGTGAAAAGTCATGCAACACTAAAACCGTGGTGGAAGGAAATAGAGGCGGGACGTCTCCGCCCTGAAAAGGAAGGGGCGGAATAAATCTGGCAGAAAAAAAATTGGAAGAAAGTGTCCAAGCAGAGGAATGCGGTGTAGTTCGATGACCTCCCTGCCAAGGAGCCCGCAGCCTTGGGTCTGAAGCATCCACATGAAAGACAAAACCACCGCTTTGACGTGTGAGTAAAACGCGCTTTTCATTAGAAATAAGTACGTTTCCTCTTATTTATTTGTTTATTCTAGGGGGATTAGAGTAAAAGCGCGTGATTTGTGCGCTTTTCCACCCAGATATGATGCCGCTATCTGGGGAAACTCGTCTCTGACTCGGACTGGTGACTCTTGAAGTCGTGAAGCAGCAACTCGCTTCTACTTGTTGAACTTTGGAGCTGCAGGAAGCGCTCGTGCTTTGGCTCATTTTACGCAAAGTATACGTCTGACATTCCCAGTAAAACCACATCAGTACGCGCTTCTCTACTAAAACAGCATTTTTAAAATAGTTTCTCCTGTTTTTAGATGGCTGAGCTTTGCAGCGCCGGCCGGCGTTTCTTCACCTGCAGCGCGCTCCCTCCTCCCTTTCTTTATTTTGCGCACACAGTGATCCGTGTCCCGCTGGAGTTGAGTTGGCCTTCACGGGTCAGATCGTCTTACATGCTCGCATTCCACAGAGGGGTGTAGATTAAACTGGAACCAGGTGCTTTATATAACCGTGCCTAACTCAGTGCGCCTGCGCCTCCAGTGCGCCCTGCGCTCAGAAACAACTAATCTATAATTAATTCTAATTATTATCAGCGCTCTGTCGTGTCCAGGTTCGGTTCAGGAGTCTCGTTCTATACTTTTCCACTACCAGCGGCTTTTCCTTGGCATGCGCCCTCTCTCGGGCTCCCCCTCCCACCCCGCGCCCACTCTTTAGTGTATCCAGGCGCTTTGCGTCACTCCGCCTGCTCAGTTCAGCCGATCTGTAGCGGATCTGCTTACCCAGGAGGCTATCAAGTGATTTGTTCTAGACATAAATATGTGTGGTGTTACACCATGAGGTGGCTTTTAGAAGATTCCTGAAACACAAGTTGATATTTCACTCCAGCAAGAATACAATAATAATAATCAAATATTTGCATTAATGGAAGAAAGAACAGTACAGCTGTCACGGAATTGCTCAGACATGCCAAATTTTTGTCCTCCCCTCTTATTTTGCCCGGTTCTCTGACGCAAGCGCTCTGAGGCGCGGCTGTGACGCAGAGGGAGCGCAGCGGACGCTGATTGGTGAGGAGGTCACCACCTTAGTGTCCCGCCCACCAGAAAGTGGGTATCAGCAGCTCCTCCCTCCCGGTTTCTGCTTATAAACCAGGAGCTGAAAGTAAAAGGTTAGATTCTGGGCTTGAGCAGCTGATGAGAGCTGCAGCTGAGCTCGCCATGACGGTCAACACAGAAACAGAAAAGCCTGTCTTGACTTACTCTAAAACTAAAGGCCTTGTGGAATTACTCACTGGTACTTTGATTTAATTTTTTTTATTGTTTGGAGCATCCTGCCCTTTCATTTTTGGCATTTTGATCTTAATTTCTCCTGTTTTTGTTTGTGTTTTTGCAGCTTTTATGAAGCAGAGGAGGATGGGTCTGAACGACTTCATTCAGAGGCTCGCCACCAACTCCTACGCCTGCAAGCAGTGAGTACCATCTGAGTCATGTTATTGTTCTGCCTCCACATTCGGTCAAATCGTTGAAAAACACAAGCTGGAATGCGAGGGATTTGTCTTCTGAGGACATTTTGTGACTCAACCGGAGTCCTAGATCAGCTGATTCATCTGCTAAACAACAGAGGATTGTTTTCTTTCGCCATATCACAAACTACTTTTTGTTTCTGTTTTTCTTGCAGCCCTGAAGTTCAGTCTATTCTGAACTTGAGTCCTCCTCAAGAAGCAGAGCTGATGAATGCAAACCCTTCTCCTCCTGTAAGTAATTATATATAATTATATTTGCAGGGATGCACAGATGCGTCCTCTGGATGTGCTTCACTAACTTTTCTTTGCTCCGCGTTCCTCCTGCAGCCCAGTCCATCCCAACAGATCAACCTCGGCCCGTCTTCCAACCCCTCCGCCAAACCCAGCGACTTCCACTTCCTGAAAGTGATTGGAAAAGGCAGCTTCGGCAAGGTGCTGCTCGCGCGTCACCGCTCCGACGACCAGTTTTACGCCGTCAAAGTGTTACAGAAAAAGGCCATTCTGAAGAAGAAGGAGGTACAACGTAAAACACTCACGCACACGGGTTCCGTCGCGTCACAAAGCCTGTTTGTATAAACGTCTCTGACCTTTGCACTCTTTTCTTTTCAGGAAAAGCACATCATGTCAGAGAGGAATGTGCTCCTGAAAAATGTCAAGCACCCGTTTTTGGTGGGCCTGCACTACTCGTTCCAGACAGCAGACAAACTCTATTTTGTCTTGGACTACATCAACGGGGGAGAGGTGAGCAGAGGACACGCTGAGACACAGAAAAGGCTCTTTTAAACTAAATCTTATCACAGATGAGATAGATGGGGAAATCCTGTTATCTGAGGCAGAATAGAAGTTGTCCCTTTCTGTATTTTTTTATAAACTAAAGGAAACTAGCTCAGGAAATGAGAGGTTGGGCTGGGACAGCCGGAGAAACTCGGCGGCCAAATTTTGCTTCTAATCGAGCTAATTTCCTGTGATTGTTGCACGAGGAAAGACACTGATGATTAAATATGGACTTCATCAGGAAGCAGGGCACATTTACTCTCTTTCTTCTCTCGCCCCCCCGGCCCTAGTGTCATCTGTCTTGTGAAACTTTTAAAGCTGTCGCCTTCCTGCCTTTTTTATTTCCTCCCATCTTGTTTCCTCTACTTTTTTCTCTTAGTATTTTCCTACCACTGCTCTTCTTCTTTTGACACCTAATTTCCCAGCAGCAGGCTATTCTCTGCAGGTTTTTCATGATGTGTTTTTCTGTTTTGCAGCTGTTCTACCACCTGCAGAGAGAGCGCTGCTTCCTGGAGCCCAGAGCCAGGTTTTACTCTGCAGAAATCGCAAGTGCACTGGGATACCTGCACTCCCTCAACATCGTCTACAGAGACCTGAAGCCAGAGAACATCCTGCTGGACTCACAGGGACACATCATTCTCACCGATTTTGGGCTTTGTAAGGAGAATATCGAACCCAATGGGACCACGTCAACTTTCTGCGGTACACCAGAGGTAAGGAGAGCATATTTATTCACAAGTGTCGTGCTTTGAGGCTCTTTTATAACCTACGTTGTATTTCTCCAGTATTTAGCTCCTGAGGTGCTACACAAGCAGCCATACGACAGGACAGTAGACTGGTGGTGCTTAGGAGCTGTTCTATACGAGATGCTCTATGGTCTGGTAAGCCACGCGTCATGCATTTAACATATTCATGTGATTGCTAAGTTGCTTACTGGTTCTTTTTGCCCCTCGACAGCCTCCGTTCTACAGCCGCAACACAGCTGAGATGTACGACAACATACTGAACAAGCCTCTGCAGCTGAAACCCAACATTTCCAATGCAGCCAGGCACTTGCTGGAGGGCCTGCTGCAAAAAGACCGAACCAAGCGTCTGGGCTGCACAGATGACTTTGTACGTGTCCCTGCAACTGCTTCCTGCCTTCTTTAGCATGAGTAAAGACCGTTTTTTAATGACATTTTCTGTGAATTTCTCCAGATTGAAATCAAGAACCACATATTCTTCTCACCTATCAACTGGGATGAACTCAATGCAAAGAAGATAACCCCTCCCTTTAACCCCAACGTGGTGAGTTATTTTCTTTAATTACTCCAGTTCAAACTTTTTTTGCATTTATGTAACAAGATCAAAAGCATGCAACGTCCAGACTGCAAATTAGAGCGTCCAATTATGGCAGGGTGCTTTGAAGCACGACTAATCCTTCCTTGCTTCCTCCTATTGCAGTCGGGACCCAACGACCTGCGGCACTTTGATCCTGAGTTCACGGATGAGCCGGTTCCCAGCTCTATCGGCTGCTCCCCGGACTGTGCACTCACCACTGCAAGCATCACAGAGGCAGCTGAGGCCTTCGTAGGCTTCTCTTACGCCCCATCCATGGACTCCTACCTATAGGGCCTACACACAGGCACTTCAACGTGGACTCTAGTTTCTTCTCACTGTCCATGGACTTGCATCTTGACCCCTCATCCCATCATTTCCCATCAGAATGATGGCTTTTTTCCAAACCCTGCAAGAGATGCTTCACCTACATGCATACTTACTGTTCCTCTCCCTCTGACTCTTGAATGCATTTTTAAAGACTTGCATAGAGAGGATGTTTACTGTAATCAATGACCTGTTGGGACCCTTGACTTGTTTTACCAACACAAGTCTTTATCAGTCTTCAATTCCCACCTTTTACCATATAAAGGAGGAGTTTTGCACATGGCTCAGGCAGCACCCCATCACCAGGTCACAAAGCACACACTAAAACTTCCAAATCTCGTTTTCATCCATGTAGCGAACGATTCCCCCTCTCACCCGCCAGCTGGGACCTACCTGCTGAGTCTGAATGAGCAGCTTGGAGTTGACATCCATTTTTGGTGCTTTTTTTTTTTCTTGAATTCTCTGTGGTTTTTGAAAAAGGGAGTCAGGAGAAGGTGAATGTTACACAGACAGGGGGGGGGGGGGGGGTCATTTCCCTCAAAGGTGCCTTTATTATTATTTTCTCCTCTTTCCATCAGATCATTAGGGTTTTTAACATTAAAACTACAGCTTTGTCCACTTGGGGAAGTGAAAGTTAACGTGACGATGTAGCACTAAAAACTCAAATGATGTTTCCTGTATTTCATTTGCACATTAACGCTGATGGAGAGATGAAGAAAGAGCTGCTGCTGGGTGACCACAAGAGGCGCGTGTCCAAGTACTTGTGCGGTTTCGCTTGTCACCTGTGTCCCCCTTGTAAAGTCTTCCAATTGCCTCACACTGACGTAACAACGGCCCACAGACGGGGCCGCCAATGCTGAATCCGAACATTCCACTTTAATATTGCTGTAGTGCAGTTTGACGGTATTTAAGTTCCATGTATATTCGGAGTTACGTGTACTAGTTTTAATGTATATTGTACAAGAAAATGACTAAAGGTATGCCTAAAATATGTATATGTAACAATTTATGTTTAATGTACTGTAAATTGTAAAATTGTTTATGTGACCATGTTTGGTTTGCAATAAAAGTTTAACTTTATTACACGTTATAAAGCGTTTATGAGCCTCTGTTCGCTAATCTTGAGTCAGCTGGGACGTTTTTCTCTTGCAGAAACCTGAGAACACTGCTTGTTAAGTGACTGAGTAAACTAAAGAATGTGAGGAATGAACGAAGCATGGATTGATAAACATTTACTCGTTTTTTTTTAGGAAGAGGGTTTAACTCCTGACCGCTGTGCCTGATCAGCACACAATGGACTTTTACTTGCTACGTCAGCAGTGTTACACAACAGCGAGTGTGTCACGCGAGCGTGACTCCAAGTGTGTGAAGGCCTAACTCAATATTAGCAACACACAGCAGGTGTCATGGCGGGCGGCAGTCCTTTGACCCACGACATGCAGAATCACCAAACAGGAACTGGTAAGTAAGTAAAACGACTTTATTATATACTGCAGAGCAAGGACGGGAACAGACGACGGGCAGGCTGGCAGCAAGATTTCCGGATGGAACTCTGAGGAAGGAGACAGAGTGAATATATGGAGGGAATGACGGGAAATGATATTGGGAGTGGAGCTTACTGATTGTAGTAGTGGTAAGAACTTCCGGAGGGATTGGTCAGGTCCGGGTGAGCAGGAAGGCTCCAGAAGGAGGCGGAACTGTTGGATCGGAGAGGAGGTAGGAGTAGAGGCTTGGTGGGTGCAGGTGAGCGGCTGAGAGCGGGCGGCCAGGGGAGGAGACAGCGTGACATGAAGTGCAGGGATCCGAGCCGGTGTTGAGATGGTGGGGTGTGGAGTGAAACCTGGAGTAGAGCAGGGTAGAGAAGTCAGGGTCTTTTCAGGTTGAAGAAATCCAGCGAATAATTCTCAAGATCTGGTAACAAGACGGAACACAGGATCGAAAAACCGGGTCAGAGGCTAGAGCTACCCAAAATTGAGCAATCATCCGGCGAAGTGAAGAGTCACACTGCTCCTTAAATCCCCTGGACCATGATGACAGAATTAGCTGCAGCTGGAGACTCTCAGACACGCCCACCTGCAAACAATATTCAGAAAAGCTGGTTATGTGCAGGGAGCTCACCACGGACCGTGACAGCAGGTCAGATGGGATTTAGTTTAGTAACAGTGATTTGTTCACGCCACTATCTTAAAGGTAGAATAATTTCATATAAACTGCAGCAACAATGTTTTATTTATGAAAAATGCTAAAAATAACTTTATTAGTTATAAAAAAATAGTTAAATTCACACTAGTTTTCCTGTTTAAGTACAAGCTGGAATTAGAATAAACAATATTAGCATTAGCAGCCAAACTATTATTTTATTAATGGATCTGAGACGTGGGACTATTTATAGTTTTCCTTTCCCTTTTTTGCCTTCTGGCATCCTTTGATGTTGCTCCTTTCATCTTTGACTAAAGATCAACTAAATCTGAATGTTTTTACTTGAACAGATAAGAGCTAACAGTGCTTTAGCAGTTTTATGGCTCAGTCTTGACTTTTGCTTGACTTTATTTCCATTGTAGAAAAACAATAATCATATAAGTAGTTAAACTGTCTGTGAGAACTCACCTGTAAATAGAAATAATATAATGTAGATGTCATGACTCCCAGTCTTTTACCCTCCTCTGCCTCTGCTGCCTCCTCATCAAGTTGACTCAGCCAGAGTTTCGGCAGTGTAGTGTTATGTGTTTCAGTGAGACGTGGCTGCAGGACCATATCCCCGATTCCAGCGTCTCTCTGCCAGGATTCCTGACTGTACGAGCAGACAGAGATCTGAAGAGGAGCGGGAAAAGAAAAGGAGGTGGAGGGGCAGTGCTTGTCAACAACAGATGGTGCCATCCAGGTCATGTTTCAGTGAAATGTTGTCTCTGCAGCCCAGATGTTGAACTCTTGGCAGTAAGTTGTCGCCCATATTATTTGCCAAGAGAGTTGACCAGTGTTGTCTTGGCAACCGTTTATATTCCGCCTTCAGCCATTGCTGAAAATGCATGTGATGCCATCTGTTCTGTTGTAGCTAAGCTACAAACCCAGCACCCCAATGCATTTGTGGCTATATCTGGTGATTTTAATCATGCCTCGCTCTCTGCTACACTTCCAACATTTCAACAGTATGTCAGCTGCTCCACCAGAGAAAACAAGACATTGGATTTGTGTTATGCAAATGTAAAGAATGCATACATGTCCAAAACAAGACCTCCTCTGGGACAATCAGATCACAATCTTGTTTTTCTCTGCTCAGAACACAAAACACTTGTTCAGAGGCAACCTGTGACAAGAAGAACTGTGAGAAAATGGTCACAGGACGCTGAAGAAGCCCTGCAGAGTTGTTTTGAGACCACAGATTGGATGACTGTCTGCCAAGGATATGAAGAGGACATCAATGCCATGACTGGATGTGTCACTGACTATATAAACTTCTGTGTGGACTATATCATACCCACCAGAACAGTGAGATGCTTCGCTAATAACAAACCCTGGATCACCAGTGAACTGAAGAATCTGCTAAATGAGAAAAAAAGAGCCTTCATGGAGGGAGACGGGGAATTATTGAGGAGTATACAGAAGCAACTGAAGATCAAGATCAGAGACAGCAAGGAGGCATACAGGAAGAAGCCGGAGAACAAACTACAGAGGAACAATATCAGAGATGTCTGGTCCGGGATGAAGAAGATCACAGGCTTCAAGCAGAGGAAGGATTGCACAGATGGCAGCCTGGACACAGCCAATGAAATGAACAAGTTCTTCAATAAGTTCAGTTCAGGAACAAACCCAGCATCCTCCTCGCCTGTCCCCAGCCAATCAGACATCCCATACTCCTCTGATCCAACATTTTCATGTCACACGCCAGCTCTTTTGTCCTCTAACGCAGTCATGGACTCTTCTGGTTCTATAAATCTGTCTTCAACCAAGTCAGGAGATGCTGCTGCCCCATTTACCTCCCCCTCCCACCTATCTGTCTCTAGAAGTCGTTTGAAGATGTAGCTGGAGAGACTGAACAGGAACAAGGCTGCAGGTCCAGATGGTGTCAGCCCCAGAGTACTAAAGGCCTGTGCAGAGCAGCTCTGTGGGATTCTGCAGCACCTCTTCAACCACGGCCTGGCCCAGGAGAAGGTTCCAGTCCTGTGGAAGACATCCTGCCTTGTTCCAGTTCCAAAGAAAACTCGCCCATCAGTCAATGACGACTACAGACCGGTTGCCCTGACATCCCACATCATGAAGGTCCTGGAGAGACTCCTGCTGGTCCACCTGAATAAGCAAACTAGAACATATCAGGACCCGCCAGCGCTGGACTGACCATAGGGCATAGCGGGCAACTGCCCGCTGGGCCGACCCTTTCATCTTTTATGGGCCGGTGTCTGTTTTTTTTTTTTTCCTGGCCTCTAGTTGTTGCGGACAACTTGTCCGCGCCGCCCCACGCGACGCCTCGTAAAAGTTGGTGGATTGGCCAATTGGTAATAATACACTCTGGGCTGGACCAATAGCCAGAGGTCTGATGCACCCGCCAGTTGTTTGTGAATCTCAGTAAACAGACAGACGAGCTTTACAAAATGGAGAACAAAAAACGGAAAGGAGGAGCGGAGAAAATTCGACTAAAAAAGAAACTGGCCCTTCAGGCTGATGCTGGCACATGTGTTAAAATCTCACAGTTGTTTGGTAGTGAAGGTTCAAGTAAAATCAATTTAGGAAGTGACAGCCCAGCGACAGGTTGGAGAAGAAAAGAGGGAGGAGGAGGAGAAACCCGAGCCGGTGTTGTGCCATAAATTGACTCGCTGCCAAAAAATGATTAGCCACCGCGGGATCGCGCACGGTTAGGTAATTGCATTTCTAGACAAAATTCCCCAGGATTTCGCCCTAAAACTCAGCATATCTAGCAATATGGACATTCAGAAAGCAAAGATAACCTCTTCCGGTACTTAAACAGATGTTTATCGCGGATATTAGTGTGGCAGTGTTTGTGGCAGCCTGCGCGGGAGCACGAGGACGTGCTTGTGGAAAGAGGGAGGAAGATGTGGCAGTGTGAGCATCCACAATGTCCCGATTGATGATGTGCCCTGGCTGCTTGGTTAAGGAGATGCCTCCTTTGGCTGACTGGTTAGAGCGTATGACTCTCACTCGGGAGTCTGGGGATCGAATCCCGCCCGGCACTCGTTTCTGCACCTTGCCACATTAGTTTTTCCAGTTCGGAAGTTGTTTTAAGTGTTGCTATTTGTCTTAAACGTTCACAATGAGGATATATTAATCCTTTTTGCAATATTTGCGATTGAAAGATGGTTTGTGCCACAAACTTTGTGATAAGAACTGGCTTTCTTTATGTTACAGCCTTGATACTAAAAAAATAAATAAACATTGTAAAATGGCACCCTGTATTGAATGTAAACGTTGTATAAATGGAAATAAACAATTCTCCAGCGATTTAATTTTTTTCCCCTTCCTTTCTTTAGTCCACTTAACATGGAGCCACAGTTAACTAGTTTGGGGCACATTTTTACTTGAAAAAAAGTATTTAAAATGATCAAGCTTTGGCTTTAATGACACTGTGTAGGTTACTATCTATACATTACGTTGCTCTATTTAAAAGTAACAAGATAAGCACATAAAATTAAGATTTTAAAATTAAAATTAAAATTAAGATTGTCACTTGCCAAATAGACTACACCCTCCCGTTTACCTATAAGAAATGCCTCAAAATATCTTTAAATTCTTTATTGATGATTTAATTGTAGACAACTAAAATGGCATTTTACTTGCCAAAAAGTGATTGAATTGCTAAGATTTTCATGGAGGCTAAAATTGACCAAATAAGGGTTTTATGTTTTATCTGTTGATGTTACTGTACTCATACTGCCTACTGTATCATCATAAACACCCCAAAAATGGCACAGAAAAAAAGAAAAAAAAAAGAAAATAATTTCCCTTGCCAAAAATTGATTACAGTGTCCTGGTCACGTGTAAAGGGTTACATTTACCTAAATATTACTTTATTTATTATCTCTTGATGTTATTAGTGCCATCACAGGATGCTGGGTGTCTTCCACATTCATAAACACCTCAAAAATGGCAACAAATGATAATTTCCCTTGCCAAAAATTTATCACAGAGTCCTGGTCACCCATAAAGGCTTAAATTGGCATAAACATTACTTCATTTATTATGATGCTGGGTGTGTTCCACAATCATATTCGAATAAACATGAAAATATTCCGTCCGAATATCTGTTTCTTGTTATAACAGCTAGAAGGATTTACAGTTAAAATAGGAGAAACATGTGACTCCCCAGGAAGGGTCGTAACACCACTTGCCTCACGCACATAAGTGACCAAAACAAAGCAGCATGGAGACATTCCGTCTCCAACCACCTCTCAGGCAGCAGCCTGCACTCCCAAGTTCTACACGTCACCAGAACATAAACAACCGCAACACAATAAAAGCAGTGTTATACAAAATGGAAGGCCTGTAGTGTTTATTCTCTTACAGTAACAACTTATCAATTTTTTGGAGGAATTTATTTGAGAATTTTTTGGTTTTTAGTAATTGTGCAATAGAAAAGTAATCGCTAGATTAATTATCTAAATAGTCATTAGAATAGTCGACTATTCGATAAAATAATCGTCAGAATAATCATTTTAAAAATAATCAGTTACCCCCAACCCTACTTTTTAGAATACCAGGATAGGAAGGATGGTGTAGGTTTACGTTTATTAGATTGATACATAAATACTACCAATAAGAAAGTGTACGTAGGTGTGTGTCAGAAACAGCGTAAGGCTTAATGTCTTTTCCAAAAAAAACAGGTGATGGGCCGGTCTCCAGTCAAAATGCCCGGGCTGAATTTTTGTCCCAGTCCAGCCCTGGGACCCGCTGCAGTTTGCTTATCGCCATGGAGTTGGAGTTGAAGACGCCATCATCCAGCTGCTTCAACCAACCCACTGTCATCTGGACAAAGCAGGCAGCACTGTGAGGGTCATATTCTTTGATTTCTCCAGTGCATTTAACACAATCCAGCCTGATGTACTTTGCCAGAAACTCCAGAAGACACAGGTGGGGGCCTCAACTATCGCCTGGATTAAAGACTGCCTGACAAACAGACCACAGTTTGTGAGGCTGAAGAACTGCACATCAAACCAGGTGATCAGTAACATTGGAGCACCACATGGGACTGTACTCTCACCATTCCTTTTCACCCTGTACACGTCAGACTTCCAGTACAAATCAGAGACCTGTCATCTACAGAAATACTCAGATGACTCTGCAGTTGTCGGGTGTATCAGAGATGGACAGGAAGCTGAGTACAGAGAGCTGGTGGAGCGCTTTGTGGCATGGTGTGGAAACAATCATCTGACCTTGAACGTGAACAAAACAAAGGAGATGATTTTAGACTTCAGAAGAAACAGGGTGGAGTCAAACACTGTTTCCATCATGGGAGAAGAAGTGGAGGTGGTTGAGGAATACAAATACCTTGGAGTTCACCTGGACAACAGACTGGACTGGAGAAAGAACAGCGAAGCCGTTTACAAGAAGGGACACAACAGACTGCACTTCTTGAGGACGCTTAGGTCCTTCAATGTCTGTAGCAAGATGCTGCAGATCTTCTACAAGTCTGTTGTTGAGAGTGTAATCTCTTCAGCCATCGTCTGTTGGGGTAGCAGCATCAGAAGCAGGGACCTGAAAAGGCTCAACAGCCTAATAAAAAAGGCTGGTTCTGTTCTGGGGACGACTGTGGAACCGCTGGAGGAGATAATGCAAAGAAGGATTCTCCAGAGAATCAAGAAAATGATGGACAACCTTGAGCATTCTCTTCACAAGACTGTCTGACAATGGAAGAGTGTCTTCAGTCAGAGGCTTCTTCAGTCTGGCTGCAACACTGACCGCTACTGGAGATCCTTCCTGCCAACAGCCATTGTAATATACAATAACTCTTTGATGACTTGATTATTATTATTATTATTCTGAGCTACTACAGCAATCAATTTCCCTCCGGGATTAATAAAGTATTTTCGAATTGAATTGACAGGTCTCTGATTTGTACTGGAAGTCTGACGTGTACAGGGTGAAAAGGAATGGTGAGAGTACAGTCCCCTGTGGGGCTCCAATGTTACTGATCACCTGGTTTGATGTGCAGTTCTTCAGCCTCACAAACTGTGGTCTGTTTGTCAGGTAGTCTTTAATCCAGGCGATAGTTGAGGCCCCCACCTGTGTCTTCTGGAGTTTCTGGCAAAGTGCATCAGGCTGGATTGTGTTAAATGCACTGGAGAAATTAAAGAACATGACCCTCACAGTGTTGCCTGCTTTGTCCAGATGACAGTGGATTGGTTGAAGCAGCTGGATGATGGCATCTTCAACTCCAACTCCATGGCGATAAGCAAACTGCATATGAGTCTTTCTTCAGCTTGACAGCATACCTAACCATCGGTGTCCACCAGTGGGTTCGGGGTTGCCACCACCACAGGCACTGCTGACCCTGCAGCTGCAGCTCCAGGCGGCTCTTCGACAATAGAGGCACAGAACATGGCAAACTCAGACTCAATTTCCCCGCCTCCCCCTGGAACGCTTTTGAAGTTCTGTCGGAAGTGTGAACTGAAGCTCCTTTTGACTCCGACAGACGTTCCCAGCAGACCTTCACAATACGTTTGGGCCTGCCTAGTCTGGCCGGTATCCTCCCCCACCATCGAAGCCAACTCATTTACATTAAGTTACATGGTTTGAAGGCCAAACTCCCGCCACCCTTCCTTTCAAGAGGAAAAATATAACATAGACAAACTGGGATGTATCTATTGATGATGTTTTGCCTAACACGCTTTCTTTTTAATAAACCAAACCAACACAAATCAAGAGAACCTGACAAAAGAAACCTTCCATCATTGTCATGGTTTATATTCACTAAACATTTGTGCATTTGTGAATTTTCTTTAGAACTGGCTTATGTTTGTTCTCTGTGTTCCATTTTCTAACACCTGCTATTGAGAAACACTCATTTGAACGAAGTTCTGATTGAATTTCCTCTTAAATGAAACCCTTGTTACATTTCTTCAAACTATTTAGTTGTTTCAGAGGGAAGTCGGTTGTGTCTTCCCAAGAAAATGATTGAGCTGTTTTCAATCAAACTAAGCCAGGAAATCTCCTCTCCAGTTCATACAAAGGGTTCATGAGTATGGTCTCTATATCCTGCTTGATTTTATTAACCTAATTCTCCCATTTTGTATTGCAAAATTATGTTTTTGTAACACGCAACACAGAAAACATCAAATATTTGATCGTCAAACCCTAAACTCAGCCT